CCTGAGATACAAATAATGCTCTATTAGCAGTACTATTTTACACACACAAATACACACACACACATGAAACAATAAAAAAAACAAATTTTAAATAAAGTTCTGTTTGAAATTTCAATGAATGTCAAATATAGACAAATACTAGATACATAGGAAGGAGTCAGTGGGAATTAGCTAGAAGAGGTATACTGGAATGTAACAACTTTCAGCAATCCCAGACAACACAGCCAATAGTGAAGCAGACTGAGAACTGTAGCTTTACATTTTTTCGCCAATTTTAATTTTAGTTAAAATGAGAAATAAAACTGGATCTTAACACCAAACAAACTTTGTCCAATATCCTGCCCATGCTCTAAAAATAGTGAATCTGTATCCATTCCAGTAATGTTTCAGACAGTGAGAAATAATTGATGTTTGGATTAAAGACTAATTTCCATGGCCTGCGCTATTTGCAAACAATGTATTGTTGGTGTTATCTTTATATGGTTTTCAATTTATTTGATTTGATTCTTATATATGTCCCTCTATAAGCTCTGAGACCTGGAATGGGATGCACCATATAACTTATTCTCAGCGATCTCAGTTATAGAGCCCTAATCATTATTTGAAAATGGAATCAGTTTCAATTGATAAATCCTGAGTATATGGACAAGATACTTATATTCTCAGTCTGTTCCAATGACCTAACTTCTTTCCACTACAAAGAAAAACCCTATTATATTATTGGTAGAGTTAGGAGCTTAAGCGGGTCAAACTCATTGGCTGAGGATGAGGTAAGGAAAACATTGCAAGAACAAGGAGAAATATAAATATTTCTAGGGCTTGATTGTCCTACCATATATGGCCTTAGGCATGAGTATATAGAGAATTTCACATAAAGAGTTTATTGGTAGTTTATAGAGGTCAAAGAGATTTTATCCTCTGTTGCCCATCATTACCTTGCACCATACACAGACAGATCTAATAACCTTTTAATCTTGTACGCTCTTGAAATTATCACAAAAAAGACTCCATTCTTTATGATATCCATTAGTTCTGTTTATATTGGTTTCTGGATATGCTAGTACTGGGGATTGTGCTCTAAGCATATTCATTTGTACTAGATGTTCCAAGTCTATTTCATTAGATGAAACTAAAGAAAAAAATCAGTATTACAATCAGATGTACATGTCAACAATTGTTATGTCCGTCATAAAATACAAACTGATCAAATATAAGTAATGAAGCCAGATTTAGCAGTATAGGACTGAGAAGAATCTGAAGACCATTTCAGCAAATATTGTTCTATAAGAGTATGATAATATTCATTAAAAAAAACAGACAATTTGTCTCTTTTAGACAAATTACAACTTGGTTTTTGTTGATTTGTGACTGAAATTAAAGACAGAAAGAAAGCTTGCTTTGAGTATGTATGAGAATCACCAGGGAGAAGTGTCTGTAGAACAAATATCAGGAATGTGTCATAACACACAATAGCACAATTCAGATTAAGGTTTTACATTTACCTGGTTTTCACTTATGCCTATATAATATGCTTTGATTCTATGTAAAAAATACAGTGGCTGTGGCAACCAGATGCATAATATATTGACAAACTGAACCCAGAAAGGGAAAATCAAGAAAGGATAATACATTACTTTATTTTAAAATGTTGTCTCTGCATTGTTCTAGACATATATTTAAATGAATCTTAAAATATATCACTTGGATGGTGATTGTCACTACAACCATGTACATATATGCTTGGTTACATTACAGAAAACATTTGCCATAAAGATACACTATAAAGCAATCTTATTTACAGAATATTTTAAGTTTGGTAATAACTTGTTCATAAGAATATTCCCTTTAATGATTTTGAAAAATGTTCTGCTGTTAGTGTTTTTCCTGGAAAATACATATATATAATAATAATACCCAAGAAAATGCTGCCATGAAGAATGGTGACAGGCCTGCAGCCATATTCCTTGATGGATCTTTGGCCTGCCACACTCTCTGCCACCCTTACTATTCTGTTATATTAGTGGGGAATTGGGAGGGGTGAATAGTAAGGAGTAGAAAGTGTTGTTGTCAAAATTTAAAAAATCCTTTCTGGAAGCCCAAGGTCATCCTTTGTCTCTACACCTCTGAGCCTGACTAGAACTGGATGGGTGGAACTGCCAGTGTGGCAATGGAAGATTGGACCATGTGATGGATTTCTGGGTGTGGGAGCAAGATCATGAACTTTCAACTGGGTGGAAAACCCAGGAAGCTTTCAGATTTGGGTTTTCCACAGATGTGCCAACATGTCTCTCTTAATAAATTGGAAGGTTGAGGAAAGCTCTGTCTTGGATTTAATTTTGGATGATATTTGGAACACTGACAAACAGCTTATTAATTCAGTTGCCATTGAATAATAACATGAAAATATGGAGATGCATTGAATTGAAGGCATTCTAAGAAGATAGTCAACTCAAAAAGAAAACCTACATCTCCTATTTAGAGCCTCCAGTACAATTCTAGTCATACATGTGGTAAGCACAGACCTTTATAGAGAACATTGACTGGAGCAGCTGGAGCAGCCCAAGTGATTCAGATGAGAGGTAAGCTTGCAAAGTATCTACAGTGAAAAGGGTTATTCAAGAGCTGTCATTAAGAGAATAAAGCAGCGGTCTTAAGGCTGCTTTAACCTATAAAAAAGCATTAGTTTCACCTTCTTTATCCCATTTCCCATTGTTTTGTTCTTGTATTTTTCAAGGACTGTTGGACTGCTCCAGAGTTCTCTCATATGTAAAATTCTTGTACTATCAACATTACTAAAAGCTGTTTTGCCAAAATCTGCAAAGTGCATATGGTTGTGTATTACAAGTTTTTCTTTGGAGCACACATTTGATGACGTCCACCATTCCTTTTTACTATTGGTAAATTCATTGTTGTAAAACTGTAACTGACAATGAACAAATCAAATTAAATTTTCCACTACTCTCAGACCTTTATCATAAATATCTTTCAAGTAAAAATTTTATACTTTATAAAAAGCATTAATAATGAGACTGGTTTAGGAAGAAAGCAGACATGAGATTAGGGAAGGATGATTTGGTAAAAAGTGGAGTGGAATAGAATAGAATAGAATAGAATAGAATAGAATAGAATAGGGATAGCACTGTAAAAAGAATTCTTTATTGGTCAAGTGTGATTAGACACACAAGGAATTTGTCTCTGGTGCATAAGCTCTCAGTGTACACACAACAATAGTGATAGATTTTTATCACACATCATAAAACATTAGATACAAAACTTAGTGATAGTCATGGATACTATGAGTTTATTATAGTTTAATTGTGATATTTCCAATATCATATCATTTGTATGTCAGTCTCCTAGTTTGATGGATACTCAGATTTTTTCATACATTAATATTTT